GTCCACCGGGAAATATGTTTTCTGACTCTATTCTTTTTTTAATATCAGTTCTGGTTTATGAACCACTGACCTTCAGTTTTTATCATTCAACATTTCAATGAAACAGAGTCAATAATGTAAACAAAGACTGATATCTGTGTTAAACCTGACAGAATATAAAATATTATTCAGTTTTAATATTTTTTTTTTTTTTTGAGAACCAAAAACAAACGCTCCAACTTGTGTTACTCCACTTTGACACACAGTGAGTATTTCATAACCGGCCACAGAGTACTGGGTCGTATCACGTTACTACGACAGCTGAACTGTGGGACGAGCTGTGGAGACACTGTGGCCCACACTGAGGCCACGCCCCACACTGGAAACACCAGCGTCCATGTCCTGTCCTCAGTCCATGTCCTCTCAGTCCATGTCCTCTCAGTCCATGTCCTCTCAGTCCATGTCCCCTCAGTCCATGTCCCCTCAGTCCATGTCCTCTCAGTCCTGTCCCCTCAGTCCTGCAGCTGAGACCCACTGCCGTCATGTCACTGTCACTGCGTCTGTTCCACTGGACACTCTGACTCTGGGACGTCTTAAGGAGGAAGACGTCACTGCTGTGAAACCGAAGGATCAGACCTGATCCCCGTCCAGACCCCAGTCTTGTTAAGACCCCAACTACTCTCTTTAAAAAAATAAAAATAAATATAAATAAAAAAACACAAGTTAAATAAATAATGTCTGTTTCTCACCACAGAGGTTTCATTTTTTTCATTTTTTCAGCAGCAGATGTTGTCGCTGTCGACCGTAACGCTGCTGAGATTCTCAGCCAAAAGTGAAAGCTAAAGGTCAAACCAGAGCAGTGGTTCCCAATGTAGGGGGCAGCCCCCTGCAGGGGACATGGTGCTATTGCTGAGGGTCAGAGTAAAGGCACAGCAAAAACAAACATCTCAATTCTTTTTTTTATATATAGGTGGCGCTGTGATGAACTTACAGTCGTACCCTGATGACGAGTGGTGGGATCAGCTACCTCGCTAGCTACATAGTCACACCTGTAGTCAATACAGAGTAAACCTACAGAGTACCTGGAGAGTACTCAGTGATACACGTTATTGAGAACGTGAAGAAAGACTGGGGATCAACCACTGAACTGTAAGGCAACAGTGCTAACCACTGCTGACACCGTGTGGCCATGAATAATTCATTTCTACAGATTTTTTTTTTTTTTAGTTTTCCAGTCCATGGTTGGTCACGGTTTTTAATCTTTTTTTTTTAACAAACATTGAACGACTTCCTGTTTCGTCGGCATCACAGCTGACGGAACGATTTCCTGTGAATGAATAAAATCTGGGGAATTCTCTGAAGGTGAGATTCAGATTTTTACAGACAAGACGCTCAATCTTAAATTTTTATCCAAAGTTTCAAGTGAGCTTAGCAGCCCCCCCCTCCCACCCCCACCCT